AAATGAATGAATTTATTGTCCATGTCAACGGTCAATTGGTCACTTTCATTTCAAGTTAAGTGAGGGGCGGTAATTCGATGAGTAATCATTAAAGTAAAGTAAGACAATTGAATTGAATGAACTAATTGAAATGAATAAAACGGGCAAAATAATAAAATTTAAGCATCGAAGGGAGCCATTAGAATACTTTTGTGTGACGTGCAATCTAGCAGTCTGTAAGGAGTGCATTCTAAATGATCACCCATCGGCAACACATCAGTACGAACCGATCAGTGATGTGGCTGATCAGCAGATGAACAAAAAATGTAATGTCAGCTGTAAATTAAAAATGGGATTATTTCGTTTCTTCCTTTATGTCTTGTCAAAAAAAATTCAAAGGGGCCTGTCTGAAGTGAGGTTCTATCCAATTCAGTTATGTTCTTTAATGGTAGCAATTATGATTGCAGGTGGTAGATAGGACACAAAGCCGTTTGAGAGATTCATTATCACGTGCGAATGAAACCGTAGATGAATCGTCACAAACGTTGATTCGAACAATCGACGAGTTGCGTCGACAGATTATTAAGGAATTGGATAACGTATATACTGCTCGTCAACTGCAGTTAACATTCCTTGATAAGAAGGTTATATTTGTTATTCTTTGTTGAAACAAATAACTAACTCATTGCTGTTCAACGCAAATGATTTACTTCTTTAACAGGTTCAACAAATGTCCGAAAAACTAGCACAGACAATTGAGTTCACCGAGCGTCTGATGAAATATGCAAGTCCAACAGAAGTGATGGTATTCAAGCAGTTATTACATACTCGTTTACAAGTCTTTTTATCGTTCAATCCTGACTACAATATCATCCTTCAAAACAACGCCGAATTAGCACTACCACCTTTGAATGCCGAATTAGCACGTCAACAACTCATCGCTCTCATGGGTTCGTTTCTTCAATTTCACATTTGTTGTGTTGAATGCAAGTGTGATTCAGTAAAGTGTATTCTAATTAAAATTAAGGATTACGTTCAACACCATCGACATCCGTTACACCAGNCCGAATTAGCACTACCACCTTTGAATGCCGAATTAGCACGTCAACAACTCATCGCTCTCATGGGTTCGTTTCTTCAATTTTACAATTAGTATCGTTTGTTGTGTTGAATGCAAGTGTGATTCAGTAAAGTGTATTCTAATTAAAATTAAGGATTACGTTCAACACCATCGACATCCGTTACACCAGCAACTGCGAATGATTGGCCATCGATATTAACAACTGAAAACACCTTGATAGGTGCACCTCTAACGAATGGTAACAACACTTTATCAACCACCATACCAATACCGTTGAATAATGCGAATACAAACGCAAATAGTGACGGTCTGCCTCCAACCCCGATCGGACGTCCATCCAGTCGTTGTAGTCAGCAACAGCTGTTTGCTGCAGGGTTAGGAGGGATGGGTTTGGGACGTTGTTCATATGGACTATCATTGATGAGTCAACCACAACAACAGCAAATACTGCCATTATCACTGAACAGTAATTATTCGGATTCGAATTTATTGCGACCAAAAAATGATTTGGGTGGATCGAGTCAGAGTTTAGGTAATGTAAATAGTGCATTCAATATGAGTGCTGGTATTGATGGCGTGTTTGCTAGTAGTCAACAATATGAGAAATGGAGTATGGGGCTGGACCCGACCGCGAACAATACTCTACAGCTTTCGGAAGCAGCTGATGTCATTGACACGAATGAAAAGGTTGGTTGTTTGTTCATGAGTGCACTTGCTTGTTTCACTTATTAGTTATTGTCGTTCTCTGATAACGAAGTTTCGTGAAATCGCTTCTGTTAATTCCGTCAATCAGAAACAGTCGCATTTCAGAATAGAATTTTAAGAAGGGGTGAAAAGAGGATGGTTGATGCTCGAAATTGTTTGAATGAATAATAACTGAACTGAATTTATAGAATAATCTAATGATTGGTAGTGGCATATATCAACCGCGTTCTCAAATCAAGCGTCACAAAATGGGTTATCATTGTAAATTTGGTGAATTTGGTATTATGGAAGGACAGGTATGATGATTGCCATTTATAATATGTTACTTAATTATCTATTACTAATTAGTAACAAACAGTCAGAGTGGTGATAGGAACAAACTAATTTTCACTTCTCGATATCAGTATCGAATCTGAACATAGCAAGCAGGATGAGAAGAGAATTGTTCATAAATAAAACAAATGATTTACAGTTCACAGAGCCATCCGGGGTGGCGGTGAACGCACAGAATGATATCATAGTTGCTGATACGAACAGTCATCGCATACAAGTATTCGATAAAGAAGGCAGATATAAATTCCAGTTTGGTGAATGTGGTAAACGTGACGGTCAGTTGCTCTATCCGAATCGGTTCGTTTATCTTTATTGAGCACTCTTGTGGCTGTTTTCGAGTGTATTTATCATTCGTTCTTGATTAGTTCAATATTTATGTACTTGATGTTCACTTAGTCGCATTAAAGCGAACCCAATCACATAACATTTGTGAATCGCTTTTCGAATCATGCATTTTGACGACCACCCAGGTCGAAATCAGAAGGCAAATTTTTGGAAAGATGATATGTCTGTGAAAGACTATAAAATGGTTATT